TAATCATATGACCCCGGGACACTGAAACCAAGCACCTGATTTTTGATAATGTGTCCGTGGGAAACTTCAATGGTCAAAGCTGCAAGGACTCGTTGTAAGACACTTTCTTCAGTGCTGTTGTAACTCTGCACAGTCGCTAATCGAATGGTTGAAAGTTGGACTATTTTATAATCCAAAAACTCATATATTTGAAAAGTTTTTTAAAAATCACATTCTCATCACCTTCCTCTAAGAGGGAAGGGACTCACCCGATGAAAACAAGAAAACCTTGCTGATATGAAAGGTCATAATCTCTATAATAATTAAAAAATTGTTATGGGAGTGTTTGGTGGAATCCTGACTCCCAGCCACTCAATTTATAAGCGACCTGAGAATAACGGGGAACTCACAGGGAAAAGCTATCTGAAATCATGTGGATAATTGCTCAACAATCCCTCTTTCCTCGGAAGAGATTTGGTCTGGAATAGGCACGATTTCCTCATAAATGTGATCCTGCACACTGGCAGGCTGTCAGCATGATATGGCATTCACTGGAAGTGTTGAAACAGTCTCTTTACAGAGAGCTCTTGGGCAAAGTGGGACTTTTCTTCTCACAAAACAAAAACACCCATTACCCATTGGGCAGAACTGGGCTTTTTGGTGCATTGTGCTCTAGAGGTTTTTACAAGGAAGTGTTTTGGTGCACCACACTCCAGGAATGTTTTGCAAAGGGGCATTTATTATGCTGTTGCACTGGGGCTGCTTTGGGCTTTTTTTTTTTTTTTTTGCAGCTAAAGTCCAGCCCAGTAGCCAGGCTAGGTATTCCTTGTCAGCAGGAGAAGAAAGAAGATGCTGAAGGTCAACTTGGGGCAGTAGAAAGCAAGGGTGATAAAAGTCTCAGAGTGCAGAGTGGTGAGGATAACTACAGGCTGGGATTGGCCTGGGGTGGCTATAGCTTCCTAGGGCCATGGTAAGTAGTCCCAGGACTGCATGATCCTAGGGTTGCTTGCTGCCCCTCAAGGCAGGGTGCAGAAAGGTCAAAGGGCAGAAATGGGGAGAAATAGGTGGGTAAAGGGGAGTTGGAGGAAGTCCCTTACCTTACTGAGGTTTGAGCTTGGAGGGGCTAAGTCCAAATGACTTGGACTGGGGGAAGTACTTGTTTAAAACTTGCAATTCTCAATGACATCAACTGAGACTGCCAGGCTTGCAGTTGCTAAGCAATGTGGTCAAGTGGCATCTCACTTTATAATTGCATCACTTAGCAACATAAATGTTGGATCCAGTTGTGGTCATAAGCCAAGACTACCTGTACTGTTAAATGTAAGTGTTCTGCAAAGTCTAAGATGTGCTGATTCGTAACTGGAATCTGAATATAAAGCAGCTGTTTAACTTATGTATAGCATACCAAGAATGAATGGTGCTCTTTATGTATAACATTTGACTTATCAAAGGAGGCATCACATGCATTGCCATCTGTTTTTCTCACTGTGAAGTTCAGACAGAAAGATGCCACAAGACATAAACCATATGTTAGAGCTGATAAACTTTCAGAATGTTTATATGCAATCTGTAAGTTTAGAGTAACATGCCCCTTTAGATGAGGGTATTACAATGTGCTGTGTTAGGAGCTACCTTTAGATAACCTCCTCTAAAACTCTGTGTCCACTTGCTTGCAAGATCACATGACGTTGTAAGGGCTGTACTATTTTTTAATTTTGTTTGTAGGCACAATTCAAAACCCCAGGTTAGATCCAATACAAAAGAATAATCTCACTGACTGTCAGATAGGTGACCATTAGGGAGAATCCACAGTAGGTGTTTCTTCCAAAGCGATCAAAGAGTCCTGTTTCCTTTAAGCCAGGGGTGTCAAACTGCCAGACCACGGACCACACACGTCAAAAGAAAACCGCGCCCACTCCAGTGCCGGCAATGAGGAAAAAACTCTGATATGTCGCATGACGTTGCGAGTTTGACATGTCTGCTCTAAGCTAGGAGCTGAGGGAATGGTAATCACTAGTGGAACATTGCTGACATCTACCTTTTTACTGTATTTAATAAAACCACTGCTATAATACCAGGCTCAACCTCATATCCATGAAAATATGATTAAGCACAATGTTCATAATCCATAGCACAAATGCCACTAAAATAAATGGAATCTGTGCACATGATCTCTTGGGCTGTCGTATAGCTCTGATTCATTTCAATAGCACTTTCAGAGAATTGCCCCATAATTATTAGAACTAATCATGAAAAATGAGTGTAAAACAAGTCAGAAAAAAATTTAAATATATTTTGGGCTTTATAAATTCAGTTGTGGCTACTCTGAATAGAATGGAAAATAGTCCAATTTCAGATTTTCACTATAAAATTGCCAGATCTCCTGAACTTAATGCTAACATGGGGAAAATGTTATTTGCAACCATTTCCCTCTCTGGTTTTAGCAAAAGTTCTGAGAGAGAAATCAACTTTTGAGGGAAGGCAAGCAGGCAGGCAAACCAGATTGTGTCATCATTTCATATATAGGTAACATCAAATTTTTCATTACTCTATGTCCAAACTGACATGGTTTCTAAGAGTGTTATCAATTGCAAAAACTATCACTCAAACAGACATGGAGGGGGGAGAGACAGGAAAATAATGGGAGTTGCAGCTCCTGTGGTCCTAAGTATGGGCAGGCTACCAAGCAACCACATTTTGGTCATGTGACACGGGGCATTTGTAGCAGCTGTAACTTCAGGCATAGATAAATCCATTTTTTCAGCTCTGCTATAATTTCAAACAGTTGCAAAACAGTCGAGGAACATCTGTAGGCATTTTTTTTTTTACTGTTTATGAGTTTCCTCACAATACTTGAACTGACCATTGTCAGAGATAGAGCACGGGATCAAAATGATGTTTGGCTTAATCTAGCACAACAGTTTTAACTTTCTCAGAATTACAAAGGAAAATATATACTTCATATTTTCAGTACACAATTAAATGAGCATTTTTGATATTGATTTTTTCCTCCTGTAATCTACTAGTAAATGTTAACTGATAAACCTGAGCCTATTTGTCAATATGACTAAATGCAAGAAATATGAAAGTTGCATAAAAGACATGACTAGCAGCAGAAACTGGAATTGTATATAGTAAGGAGAAACAGCCTTAAGCCAGTATCAGAGTACTTTATAACAGCATCTGGTTGGTCACTGCAGGTAACCCAGCGGATTACGGTCTTTGACTTTCCTCAGAAAAGACTTAAGAACAGAAGAAAATAATCACACTAAATTATTTTTGGTATATTAAATGACTAAGACTTCAAGAAAAGTAATACAGCTGCAATATAATATAAAACCTGCAAGTTACAGCTTGGCTGGCCTGTATCTAATCCAATGTTTATCAGCCATGCTCATGTTGAACTTTGCAGAATGTTAGAAATCTCATTGGAGAAATGCAATTGGTTTAACTTTGCCTTACCCAAGAAGGTGTCAAGAAAAGTATGCTGCTTTGCCAGGTTTTTGACAAGGATAATTTAACCACTATCAGGAAAAGAATAACTTACTATAAAAGCTTCTGCCTCCTTAATGAACTGCCATTTTCCTCCTAAAAGATTTTCTCCTTTTTTTTTTGTATCAGCTTCTAGGTTGCCCCATTCATAGTTTTATTCTATAAAACCTTTAGCAACTAAACATTTACTGACAGAATGAAGGCATGTTGGAAGTCATATTTTCCATTTGTACATATTTTTCCTACTTCATTACAGTGGGCATTTGATTAATATGGCTGCAGGACAGTGAAATGTAAGAAAACAAATGAATCTAGTCAAATTTCCTATTAAACAACTTGCAGTGGAGTTCTTTAGGCAAATATTCATATTCAATCTCTTAGACAAAATAATTAGAAGATAATACACTATTCCAGATCTCATTTCTTCACTTGATATGTATTTTTTGATAAAGCAAGTTTGGGGAAATCTATGGTTTTCCAAAAGTTGAAGAAGTACAACCCAGCATCTTTCACTCTTAGCCATCCTGGATGCGGTTGTTGAGGAGTAGATTCATAACTTCTAGAAAGCTGCAAGTTCTCCAGCCATACTTTATAACCTAATTTGTAAAGCCTTTCACTATCTCTGTGCTTTACCAAATTAAGTGCATTGAGTACAGTGACTATTTACATTGCTTCAAGTTTTTTCTGTATCTCCTGATGCTTTACCTCTATTCATGCTTTTTTCTTCTTCTAATGATGGATACAATGTCTCCCATTAGTAAATCTTTCAGAGGGTTGTACTCAACTCAAATTTGGGGAGCTATCTGATTTGATTGCAGCTATGCAAGGGAAAGATTTTGATCATGCTTTCACTGCCCACATCGTAATTCTTCCATAATCTCAGTTTACTGTGGACAGGTACCGTATTTTCCAGCGTATAAGACGACTTTCTAAACATGCAAATCGTCTCCGAAGTTGGGGGTCGTTTTACACGCCAAGTCTTCTTATACGCCGGAAAATACGGTAAATTATGAGGCAAAATACTTTAAATAGCAATAGCACTTAGACTTATATACCACTTCAAAGTGCTTTACAGCCCTCTCTAAGCAGTTTATAGAGTCAGCATATTGCCCCCAACAATCTGGGTCCTCATTTTATTGATCTTGGAAGGATGGAAGGCTTGAGCCAGTGGGGATCGAATTCTTGGCAGGGAACTGAATTAGCCTGCAATATTGCATTCTAACCATTGTGCCACATTAAAGAAATAGAGAAACTCACTGATACTGCCATGGCAACATTTTTAGATATTTTATGTCTTTTATCCCAGACTATGCCCAATTAACTATCCTTACTTCCAGTTCAGCACATTTTACTAACAACTATGTTTGTTTTAATACAATCACAGAAAAGTCTTGGACTAAAAGAAAGAAAATGTATTTTTTTAAAAAAAGTATAATAATTCATATTCTCTATAATTCTCTGGTTTCACATGAAAGTTGAAACAGGATAATGCAGATTATAATTCATGTGTCTTATTTATAATACTTCACCTGGTGCCACTTTCCCATTCCGTATCCTCTTTATCTTTGTCTTCTTTGGTATCTGGAGCATGTGGATGCTTTTGCACAATTCTCATTCCACCAGCTTTGACTACAAGAAAAATAACTTGAGGTAAAGAATCTACCAGATAAGCTAAGTAAAGATCTAATGAACATATTAAGGTTAACAGTTTTATAAATTAGAATTATTACATCATTTGATAACTGAATCCAAGAAGACATGCAGAAAACAACCATTAGTGTTGTGATAAAATTCATTCAGCACTTATTGGTTCAACGTTTACTGTATGCCAACATCTTTACAAATTTTTAACAGAGATCTTTGTGGAAGGCCTTTAATTCAATTATAGCATCCCAATTAAAATGATAGCTAGAGATAGGATCAACAAAAGAATCCTGTCTGAGAACTTTCATAACCATTGCATTATTTATTTAATAAAAATATTATATACGTTGAGATATGAATTTATATTCCCATTTAGACTTCTGATCCATTTATACCATAAAGAAATGCATTTATGTTTTAAATTTCACATTATCTGGGGTATGGGAAAGTTACTACTGTGGATGATTACTTGAAAGTGAATTTATGTATATATTTCATTGGGTTCAAATGCATCTGGTATGGCAATGACAAAAATGTTTATTGTTGCAGAACTATGTAAAAATGATACAACAAATTATGTTAAATTATTTTCATAATATTTTCTTAGGGGAACATATGTTAGAAATCTTCTACCCAAGGAATTGTGGCTGATGGGATCTTTGGAAAGGAAACAAAATAAACCATAAATCAATAAAAGCATCACTTTATAGGTACTTTTCACTTTAAAAATTACATTACAATAGCAGAGGAATTTAGTGTACCTCTTTCAGGATGTACCTACTTAACTTCACATCATGCAGAGGCTAAATATCATGCCTTCTGCACAAAAGATTTCTTTGCACCACTACAGTATTATTTCACTATATTTCTTCTTGGTTCCAAACCCTGAATTTATAGCCTTTCAGCTATTTTCAACCTCACTCCTACTGAGTCAAATTGCTAAACTGAGTTTAACAAATAAGTGTCCTGGCAAGCCACTAGGGAAAATAAGATTCTTAAAGCTATTTACAAAGAAATGCTTTCTCCTGAAACAAGTTGTGATACTTTAAAATCTATGCTGGAACTCTCCCCACCCACCCCCCAAAGCATCAATTGTATTTTGCTGGCTGTGACATTGCCTGGATTTAAGATGAAAAGCATGTAACATTTTAATTCCAGAAATTAACTCTTCGTGAATGACCAGAATAGTTTGAAATGGAAATTGACATTGGCTATATCTACACATCCTGAAATAAAATTGCACAATATATTTTTTTTGTCAGAAGGCATTGGAAATATACCTCATATACCAATTCCTGAATTCAGCAATAAAGCCTTTCTAATTCTGAATAGCAATGCTATTTCTGAAAAAAAGTTTAAGAATTATCTTACACAATCACTATCTTTTGAGAAACTCCTGGCCAGAAAGATAGAAAGATTATTTTGCTCATAAATTCAGAAAAATGCACATCCTGCCTCAGTATGTATAACAAGACTGAGAACTGTAGAGAGTTAAAAAGCAGGGGAAAATGTTGACAGATCATTCAACTTTCAATTGTCCATTTATTAAACGGTAATAATAATGAAACATTCTCCATTTCTGTGTGTAAAAATGCACAAAAGCTGTAAAGCTGCAAATTGAAGCATTCAGTTAAGCTTCTAGTAAAGGATTTATGCCAGAAGGAGTAATATACTTTTGCAAACCGCTTGTTTGTACTTAAGATCTTGCATGTGTAGCAGGGCTGGCTGAAAGGCTTTGCGGGAGCCTGGCTTGATAGGGGGAAATGGAAAGCTCAGACAGCTGCAGCCAGTTTTGGGCACGGCGGGCGTGGATCGGGCAGAAGGAAAGAAAAGAGGAAGGAGAAAGGGGGGTAGGGTGGTTGTTGTCAGGGAGAGACCAGGTGAAGCCGAAGAGGAGTTTGGGGTTTTAGGTGATTCCTTTCCTCTGAAGGAGAGGGAACGAGAGAGTGAGAAAGTAGAGTTTTACTGCTTTCTTTCACAGGAGGATATCCTGAACGAAGGGAAGAGTGAGAATAAGAGGGAAACCTTGCTGGGGTTTTAAATCCAGGTTTTAACTAGAAAAGAAATGGGGGGGAGATTTGGCAGAGACAGACCTGGGACTACGAGTGCTGACAGAAGAGAAAGGGAGGCTGGTTGTTGCTGCTTCAGAGACCAGCGGCTATCCGAATTTTGATCATCACCTGTGCAAGCTGTAGGCACTGTGGGGAGCTGCCCCCACGGGGCAAGCTGATGCTGCGGAGCGCTGACTATCCTCGCTCATGCTTCCATTGCTGCCTGGAGCCGGAGGGCCTCCTCTCCCAGCGGCCATGTGAACTTTGATCATTATCATCTGTGCAAGCTGCAGACATTGTGGGGAGCTGCCCTCACAGAGTGAGCTGTTGCTACAGAGTGCTGACTATCTTTGTGCTTTCTATTGCTGCCTGGAGCCGGAGGGCCTCCTCCCCCGTTTTTCTCAAGCGGCTACCACAAGCTATTGACTATCATTACGATTGCCGGGGGTTGATGAACGTTGTCACATACTGACTGCCGTGGCTGGGGGTTGGTTGTCTCTGTTCCTGTAAACCCATTTGACAAGAGCCCACCACTTCCGCTAAAAAGGACATTCTATCAATGCCCTGAAAGCACGGCTAAGCGTAAATAGAAAGGAAGGGGGAAGGCTAGGAGAGTCTGGGCTTAGGCGGCCCCTGAGGGGGTTACGCTACACATGGGGACTTGTCCAGGATAGCCTGCCTGCCCCCCCCCCCACTTTAGCAAGGGAGGGTTGGTCTCACATAGAGACATAAGACAGGGGAACAAAATGGACTCTAATGTGGTTATTAGGTGGTGCAAAGAGCAGAATAGTGAAGTAAGGACGAATGTAGTAATCAATGTTCCTGGTGATGTTTGGTCAAAAGAGCAAATTTTACAGATATTGAAGGTCCTTGTCCCGGATCAGAGGGTGTATGTGATAGATACGAGGGTGGATCGGGATTCCCCCCATTTTTATGTACTGCTGGAATGGAAGAAGAGTATTCCAGAGTGCTTTCAGGTTGAAAATCTGCAAATGACAGAAGATATTAGAGTAGGGGTGACTTTCCCGACTGTATGGGGTACACCCTCGACCAAACCATTTGACCAGAAGAGAAATGTGGTTCCTTACCTGCAGGGACAACAGAAGTACGGTTCACACAGGCTGGGGAAGTTTGACTTCCCTCCAAAACCTGACAGGGGGCTATTGCATAGGGGCTGGATATAGGAAATTATGTACTTTCTCGGGGATGCAACCAGTGCCAGAAGGGGAAGAGGAGTATGAAGCCTGGATGGAGCAGGCAATACAAGCTGTTGAGGAACAGGATAAACTGGACACCCAAAAAAGGCAATGAGTTAGAGAAAGTTTAAAGGACCCAGCTAAAGAAGCCATTAGAAGTCTAACATTGAGTCGGGGACACTTTACTGTGCGTGACTATCTCTCTTTACTGCATGATGAATTTGGATTTGCTGAGATGGTCTCTAGTTTATTGTTTCGGTTGAAACATATGTATCAGAAGAGGGGTAAGAAGCTGTCTGAATATATAAGGTGCCTGAATAGATTATTATATCAGGTTGTGGAAAGGGGGGATTAGACCCAACTGAGGTGGAACAAGCCAGGGTAGAGCAACTCTCCTGGGGTGCTTTAGCTTTGGACCCTGTTTGGAATCAAATAAAGGTCGAAGCTAGAGGAGTGTTTGGGGGTATCACGAGCTTATAAGGAGAGTTTGGGCGACCGAGGTAGTAGAGGAGGCTAAGGAGGTGATGGCTGAGTTGCCGGCAGGACAACACTTAGGCCCAGGAGTGGAAAAGGTTAGGGAGGATGACGATCAGTTAACAACGATGCAAGCTCAGATACTGGACTTAACTAAAATAATGGCTTCCTGGACAGTAATGGGTGGCCCGCCCCCGAACAGAGGTCGGGTTTGGCAGACTGATGGGGGGATGGATCCGTCCGCTCTAGCTAATAATTCAATGAGACCAGTGGTTTGTTACAATTGTGGAGGTGTGGGGCATTATAGGCGTTCATGTATGAAACCGTACAGAAGATCAGGGAATCCAATTCAGTCGGGAAACTGTCAAGGGCCCCAGTGAGGGAGCTAGCTGGGTGCCCGGTGATATCTGTCAGCCCCAACAAGAGAGGATTCCCTTGGAAACCCTCACTGAAGATGGGAGTGATGGGAGTACCTCCTTTAGCGAGAAATCTCTGTCCCTTTGAGCAACAAGGCTCCAGAGACAGCCTTTGTCGTTAAACCAGACACTGGGTTTCCCACTATTGGGGCTCCCCAGTATTTGGTGGGCCCTTCTCCAATGGTGTCAGTGCAAGTGGAAGGTATTTACACTAAGGCCCTTTTGGATTTGGGTGCGCAAGTTACATTACTATATAGGGATTTTTATGATAGATATCTGATGTATATGCCTATACAGGAATTGGGTGACCTGAAGATCTGTGGTATCAGGACTGAAAAATTCCCATATAATAGATATTTACCCATATAGTTGACGTTTGGGCCTTCTATTGCTGGGTATACAGAGACTTTTGATACTCTGGCTGTTTTGTGCACCCGCCCTTCAGGAGTTAGTCAGGGTTCGTTGATTGTGGGGATGAACACAAGCTTGGTTAGGCGTTTGCTCACCCCAGTTGTCCCCTTTGGACATGACCCAATCACAAGGGATGTTCACCCTGCGCTACAGACAGTATGCCGGCATCTGGCGTGGGAGCATCAAGCCCCTGCAGAGAGCATGGGGCAATTATGGAAGTTGGACAGAGAGAAGAGGATAATACAACCAGGGGAAATGGTGTGTTTGAGGGCTTCCGTTAGATTAGATTGGGAACAGCCTGGCCCGTATCTTATTCTTGAACCCGGCCCCAAGGGGCAGAGTAGAACTAATTCCAAAGGTAGTCTCCACGTGGGTTTTATGGCAGGCAAAAGGGTGGATCTTGGTTGGGGTCCAGAATATCACAAGCCTCCCTGTACAGCTGAGGGATCGAATGTTGTTGGGGCAAGTGAGCCCAGCTACCCCAATTGGGTCTCTGGATGATAGGGGATAGACTGAGGGGGAGTTTTCGATGGATCAGTTCTATCCCAAGAATACACAGCTTTCTCCTGAGTGGTGAGAGATCAGCTTTGGAAGTGGAAATATCTATTTTCGAGAGATGAGGGCTGTGCTAGGAGTGCCCAGCATGTAATCCGACTGAAGGAGGATAAGCCCTTCAGGAGAGATCTCAGTGGATTCCTTAAGCGATCTGGATGATGTTAGAGAGCATCTAGCCGAGCTGAAAAAGACTGGGGTCATTAGGAAATCCCGAAGTCCTTATGCTTCCCCTGTAGTGGTGGTCTGGAAGAAGAACGGGTCTCTGAGAATGGGTATAGACTATCACAGTCTTAACTGGAGGACTATCTCCGATCAGTATACAACTCCTTGTATAGAGGATGCTCTGCAGTGTTTGTTAGGGGCAAAGTGGTTTAATGTACTGGATTTAAGGAGTGGCTACTATCAGATCCCCATGCACCCAGAGGATAGGGAGAAAACTGCTTTCATCTGCCCAGTGGGATTTTAAGAGTTTAATCGAATGCCTCAAGGACTGTCAGGGGCTCCGGCGACTTTTCAAAGGCTCATGAAAAGGACAGTGGGGGACATGAACCTGATAGGGGTGTTGGTCTACTTAGATGATATTATTGTCTTTGGCGAGACCCTTGAACAGCGTGAGGAGCGTTTAGAGAAGGTATTGACAAGGCTCCATGAGGAAGGGCTGAAATTGTCACTGGAGAAATGCCAATTCTACCAACCATCTGTCACTTATTTAGATCATGTTTTCTTGGCCAAGGGGGTGGCAACAGACCGCGCCAAGCTTGAGGTAGTTGTTTCTTGGCCCAGGCCCCAGAATGTAGCAGAATTGTGATCATTTTGGGGATTTTATTCATATTATCGGAGGTTTGTGGAAGGATTTGCAAAGATAGCTCGTCTGCTCAATGAGTTGTTAAAGAATGAAGAAGTAGAGGGTGGGTTGTTTGAATCCGGTCCATCAAACTAAGGGACCCAGGAAATCTCGGGAGTCTATTCAGGCAGGATGGACTGAACGGAATGAGCAAGCTTTTGACCAATGGAAGTGGAGACTTATGAACACCCCAGTCCTTGCTTATGCAGATCCTAATCAACCGTATGAGTTACATGTGGACACTAGTCGGGATGGCCTTGGGGGGGGGATGCTATATCAGGAACATGATCAACAGCTGAAGCCCATAGCATACATCAGCAGCGGCTTAACTCCAGCGGAAAAGAATTATCCCACTCATAAGTTGGAATTTTTGGCACTCAAGGTGGTGGTTGTAGATAAGTGCCAGGGGGTTGATGAACATTGTATACACTGACTGCCATGGCTAGAGGTTGGTCTCTGTTCCTGTAAACCTCTTTGATGACAAGAGCTTGCCACCTCTTCACTCCCACTAAAAAGGACATTCTATCAATGCCCCGAGAGTGCGGCTAAGCATAACTAGAAAGAAAGGGGGGAGGGCTAGGAGAGTCTGGGCTTAGGCAGCCCCTGAGGGGTTATGCTACACATGTAACAGAGCTAAGATTCCATCTGAATTCATTATTGAGTGGATTAATGTGATTTGGATTTGAATTGTCTAACAGAATCAATTAAGAGATTCAATCTGACGCATGTGTGTCTACATGCTGAAAAGTCCATCAGATCTTCAAACTGACAGAAACACCTGATATTATTCCAAAATTCAATTTGAAGACGTGATCCAAACTAATTATCTTGTAATTGAACTTATGAAGTAAAACATTACACTGCTTTATGGTTTCTCAAACCCAAGAAGCATCAACTCTTCTTAAACCTATTGCAAATGACCTAAACCTATTGCACAGACTTTTTCTGGAAAGGCAGCCATTTGTAAAGTTTTCTTTCCTCTCTCAAACTGGAGGGGTTTCTAATTATTCATTTTCAGCAAAGTTGGGCCCACTTATACTCTCCACATGTTGATAAATGACAGGTTTCAGCACCCTCATCTGTGATTTGATTCTCATCTTTTTGTTCTGATTTTATTTCATTATTGACATTAGAACTATCTTTAAAAAGGACTAACAAGGAATAATCACTTCATTGCATTTGATATATTGTTTTTAAAATGATTTTTCTCCCTGAAGTGTTATTTTAAAAATGATTGTTTGCATTTTTGTTCTTTTGTTTCTGGGTGTTTGGAGTAAGCAATTACCTCTTCACACAATTCCAATTATTATGCATGCTACCTTAAATCAAAGCGACAAATTTGCAAGAAAAAAACAGGAAGACTATCCCAGCATACACTCATTTACACACACACACACACACACACACACACATAATCAGCATTCATTTCAAGAATTCTCAATTATGTGGCTGCGTTATCATAATTTCTGCACGAGGAAACAGTTCTCTGTATAAGAGGAAATAAGAGGGTTGATCTATTGGCCTTCCATAAGGAGCCCGAATTCAGGATCTGTCTCGTGGCTCCGACAGACACGGTCTGCCTCGATTCGCAACACGTGCCATATGTTAACACGTCAACCTGAAGGGGGATGGGCAGCCCGGTTCTTGGGAGACTTGCAACACATTCCCCCCCCCCTCCGGGCTTCCAATATTTCGAACGAAGGCGGCTGGCAGTTAGCAGCGAACGTTTAAAAACTGAGCCGTTAATACTTTTCTGCAGCAGGTCGAGTGAATCCCCTCTTTAGGAATAAGCGCTGATATAGGATCGCGCAGCCCTGTTTACTCAAAACTAAGCTACCTTCCCGTTCAAAGAACAAGATTAAACTCCCAAACAAAACGCCGCCTTCCTCTTGAAACAACTAACGCGGGAAGGGGTCGTATCCAGACTGTAAAAAGCTCCCAAGACCCAAGCTCAGTTTGAAAGCGTCCGCAAAGGCAAGGAGGTGGGCTATCTTCCTCGTATCAGCTTCCCTTCTTCCCCAGCGCGCCCTCCCGCCATAAACTTCCCTCAGGAGACAGCACAAGCAGAAGTGGCGGAAGGAGAGCGGAGTGAAAGGACAGCGGGGAGTAGCAGCTATACCGGCGGGAGGATGTCCAGCGCGGGTTTCTGCTTTGACTTTGGGCGGCGAAGACATTGTTTGCTCTGGAGCCGCCTCCGTCGTCGCCGCCGCCGCCAACAGGGCAATCGCGAGTCCAGTACGGAAGACAGACAGGTTTGCTGACTTCAAGGCAAGACACTCCTCCTCCGTGTAGCTTCACTTGTCAACGTGGCTACTCCCCGTCGCTGCGCTGCGCATGGCTCTGTCGTCAGAGCTTGGGGTAAAGCAAGAGGAGGTGGAGGAACTTTACTCCTTCCTCTTCCTGCGCTTCTCGCAGCCAATGTGTGAGGTTGCCAGTGGAGTTTCCTTTAAAAACAAAAACAAAAAACATCGCGTTCAAATAAACCCAGATTCTACACAAAATCCCAGATCACAAAAAGCACAATGTCAGTTTTAAGCTAAATTATTTTTACCTAGTGTCAGAGTTGCCCAGTGGACTTCCTAGGAAGATTTCGCTCTCAAATAAACATTCTTCACAAAACACACAGATTACAAAAAAAAAAAAAAAGTTTTTAAGCTAAATCATTTTACCCATGGAATGCATATATTTTAGTATGGTGTATCAAAAACTTTAGATTTCATTGGGTTTTAAAGTTAGAAACCAGACAGGAACTCCAAAAACCCAATTCTGTTTTTTTTAAAAAAAAAAACCCAGCACCGGCAACTGCAAATATATAGGAGGCTTGGGAGATTGAGGGTCTTTTACTAAACTGGCTGAATTGTGAAAGAAAGAGTACGTAAAAAATGGGAGTGGAGAATCTCGGGCAATTAAAATAATCAACAGCTGTTCGTAGTAGGCGCTTATACGGTATGTAAGAGCCTCCCAGTTCGACGAAAGAGTATCTCATGCTGAGAAGAGAGAAAGCTGCTGAGTTTATATCCTAGTATTTTAATACCCCTTCCTTGAAGTGTTTTCCGGAATAGAAAGGTGGACTGAACAGGCTATTTCTTTAAGGGAGCTTTTCTTTGTATTTAATGCAATTCCATCTCTAAAAGGAAAAATAACTTTCCAGCGTAAGTTGTTCACCGGCTTCATGGAAAGCACCTTCAGTTCTGAAGAGCCTTGTGACGTTTAAATTGTGTGAAGAGTTCCTGCACCTTGCTTTGAAAGTACAGGTAATCCTCAATTTACAAGAGTTCATTTAGTGACTGTTCAAAGTTATAGTGGCACTGAAAAAGTGACCTATGACCGTTTTTTACACTTGGCAACTGGTTGATATTTATGATAATTACCGTGTCCTGGGGTCATCTGATCAGTTTTTGTCACCAGACAAACCATAGGAAAGCCAGATTCACTTAACCATGTTGCTAACTGGCAAGATAGGTCATTAAATGGGGCAAAACTCAGTTTAAAATGTCTCACTTAGCAACATAAATTTTGGGCTCAATTGTCATATGTTGACTATCTATATTTACCATTTTGATAATAAAACCAGTTTGTAGTTGGTTTTGCTTTGGTAGGGCTTATGAACCACAATGAATTCCTCTCAATATCCCTAGCAAATGTTAACACAACCAGCATGGTGCTAGAAACATTTATCTTTGCTAGCCAGACCCTGAATGGTGCAGATACCTGGAAGGCAGTAGCTGGGATTTTTCAAACTTGCACAACAAATAAAACCTAGAATTCATAAAAGACACTATGCCTATCTATCAGAAATGTAGGAAACTGTTTAGTAATAGCATCCATCTCCGCTGGTCAGCTGCTTTCTTTCTCTAATATTCTTTCTATTGGCATAAAGAGGATATCTAGGAAAAACAAACTGGATCTGTTTAATTGTTATCCCTTTTAATGCCTGCATTTATAATATCTGCTTTGCTAAATTTTTATTTGAAAAATGGGATTTATTGAAGAAAAATAATTTAAAATTTTTAGAAAACATACATAAGGACAAGAAGCTTCTTTCTAGTCTCATATACTAGTAAACTAAAAGATTGGTTTTTTATTAAGTTATTTAAAAAACTGAAGCAACCACAAAAAGAAAATTCAGAAACACTTTAAAATTTGTAAGTATAACTATATACATCTTTAAGAGAAGGTACTGGCCAAGAAAAGATGAATTGTTTTGTTTACCCAGTATTTTTAACAGTGATAGATGCAAGAATACTTAGTGGTACTTGTTGTATCCTGAGCCTGCAAAGGCAGGCTCGGGACGTTGCAACAGTCCCGGGCAGTTGCAAGCTGCCTGGGACCAGACTGGCTGGCGCCGGCACTCGCGCGCATGCGTGAAGTGCGAAGCGCGCCAAATGTTGTCGTTTGGCCCGGGGATTGCCTTTAAGGAAGCAAAGAGGCTTGTGTGCCTTGGCGTTGTAACGGGGCTACTGAACAACAATAAAGAGGCTCCTGAAACTACCAAAGGCTTCGTGACGTTATTGCCATTCGCTGAGGACTCAACACTGGCGACGAGGGTGGGATGCCTTACAATTTACTCCAACAATTGTAAGCTTACCCTGGAGTCCTGAAGCAGCAGGAAACGGCGTTAAACTCAACAACTGCCTGCCAATACAGCAAGCGTTGGAGGTAAGCTGGCTGATAGACCCTTCCTGTACTACTGGAAAATGGCAAAGATAGGAAGACTTTCCGAGTTCGATGTTACGCATCCGGAAAGATGGGAGTCTTATGTGGCCAGAGTAGAGAATTGTCTCAAGGTAAATCAAGTGAGAGAAGATGGCTTAAAGGCCGCCACCCTGCTGTGTGTTTGTGGTCAAGATGCATTTGAGATCGCTGAAAATCTAGCAGCACTTGCACCTCTAGAATCAGTTACCTACACAGATTTAAAAAAATTGCTAAAGGAACATTTCCAGCCCAAGTTGTCTGTCATTGCTTGGCGCCATACTTTTGAACAGAGGGATCAACGGGCTGGTGAATCAACTAAAGAGTACATTGCTGCATTGAGAAGAGCAGCTAAGCCTTGTGAGTTTAAAGACTTAGAAGAAAGGCTGAGAGACAGATTTGTATGTGGACTGAGACACAGAGACTTGCAACAGAGACTTTTTGCCAAAGAAGACTTATCATTCCAAGATGCCTTGAGAGAGGTTACTGCAGAAGAGGCAGCAAGTGAGGCAATCAAGAATATGAGGCCTATCAGAAGTACTCCAGAAGCTGTGTCCGTGCACCAGGAGGGAGTCCGAGGGAGCTCGGAAGAGGATCCTGATGAAGAAGTAGAGTGTCTCTACCCAACAAAAGAAGGAAAGCAGGAGGAAGGCAAAGAAAAGTCTTCAGCTGTCCCCAAGTGCTTCGGGTGTGGAGGTCGCCACAAGAGGACCGACTGCAGGTTTCGCTCTGCTATCTGTAGAGCATGTGGAAAACAAGGCCACATTGCAGCTGTGTGTCTGGGCCGTCAGAAGGTACAACCCCGAGAAGAATTGCGCCTGAAAGGTACCAGGGTCCCCAGCCAAAACAGGGTGGGGTTCTGTGCTTCACGAAGAAGCATTTATAGGACAGGCACACACAAGCCTATCAAGAAGAAACTGTCATTTAAGGTGAAGTTGCAAGGAGTTCCATTGGTCATGGAACTAGACACTGGGTCTGCACTTTCAATCATTTCCATACACACATTCAGAAAGATTTGTTCTGGTAGTGGATTTCAGGCCAAGCTTAGGCCTTCTGATATAGTGTTAACAGACTTTCAAAACTCCAGAGTGTGTGTTAAGGGGGAGGCCACCCTTAACGTACAGTATAAGGATTTTGAAGGTCCATTAGATGTATTGATAGTGGGGGGTGAGCGTACGAATCTCATAGGACTCAATTGGTTTGAGGCCTTGGGAATACATGTTACAGGGCTCAATAGCTTGCAAACAGTAGATCTACAGGAAATCTGCAAAGAATTTGCAGATGTTTTCAGCCCACAGCTGGGCACATACAAAGGGCCCCCTGTGTCCTTAAAACTAGACCCCACTGTCACTCCTATCAGAGTAAAAGCAAGAAGGGTTCCTTTTGCTTTAAAAGGGAAAATTGATGCTGAATTGGACAAATTGATTCAGCAAGGAGTCTTAGAACCTGTTGATTCCAGTCCTTGGGAGACCCCCCATAGTCACGCCTCTTAAGGCTAATGGGGACATTCGCATCTGTGCAGATTACAAATGCACTCTAAATAAGGCATTGCAATAACATGCCTATCCTGTACCTGTAGTCAGTCATATTCTGGACTCCCTCAAGGGGGGGGCGTGTTTTTGCAAAGCTTGACCTAGCTCAGGCTTATCAACAGTTGCCTGTTGATGAAGCTGCTGCTGTGGCACAAACCATTGTAACCCACAGGGGGGCATTCAAAGTAAAAAGGCTACAGTTTGGAGTAAATGTGGCTCCTGGAATTTTCCAAAGCATAATGGAAAATACACTGAGGGGTATACCAGGGGTTTGCCCCTATTTTGATGATGTCTTAATTGCTGGAGATTCCACTCAAAATTTAGCTGAGAGATTGAGGGCTGTTCTGCTGCGGTTCCGGAAAATGGGCCTCAAACTCAAGAAGGACAAATGTAAAATTGGGGTGCCTTCTACAGATTTTCTGGGATTCAAAATTGATGCCAATGGAATTCATCCTGCTGAGTCCAAATTAAAGGCTATCATGCATGCTCCTAGGCCTAAGTCCAAGGCCAAACTACAAGCTTTTCTGGGCCTTTTGAATTTCTATAATTCATTCATTCCTAACAAGGCTAATGTAGCTGAACCACTTCATAGGCTTCTGGACAAACAGGCAGTCTGGCAGTGATCACAAACACATGAAGCAAGCTTCAATGAGGTTAAGGCCTTACTCACATCTAACAATGTGCTTGCACATTTTAATGAAACTCTTCCTGTGTGCATCGCTTGTGATGCTTCTCCTTATGGGGTGGGAGCAGTACTCAGCCACCTTAGGCCGGATGGAACTCAGGTTCCTGTTGCATATTACTCCAGAACCTGCTGAGCAAAACTACGCCCAGATAGACAGGGAGGCTTTAGCTCAGTGGTTCTCAACCTTTCTAATGCCGCGACCCCATAATACAGTTCCCCATGTTGTGGTGACCCCCAACCACTTATACATCACCGGGTACCAGGGGCGTGGCCAAAGAAAAGGGGGAAAAATGGCGGACAGCCTTGTTTGGCGACCCCCATGAAATGGTCGTTCGACCCCAAATGGGGTCCCGACCCACAGGTTGAGAACCACTGCTTTAGCTGTTGTTGCTTGAATTAAAAAATTCCATGATTTTTTGTATGGCAGACATTTCACAGTCTTTACTGACCATAAGCCTTTGTTGGGGCTGTTTACCACAAACAAACAAACTCCCCATATCATCTCCCCCAGAATGCTGCGATGGTCAATCTTTCTGTCAGCCTATGATTTTTCTCTAATTCACAAACCTGGGAAAGAAATGGGCCATGCTGATGGCCTCAAGAGATTACCCCTGCAAGTAGTAGAGGCTGATCCTGCCCCTGCCATCAACATCCTTTCAATTCAGGCATTGCCTGAATCACCGTTAAATGCCAGGGATGTGGCTGCTGAATCTGCCACAGATCTCACACTCTCCCGTGTCTTATCTTGGGTTTTGTCTGGATGGCCAGAGAGTTGTCCTGGCACTGAGTTTCAGAGTTTCTGGCTTAAGAGGAACGAGTTATCCACTTTCCAGGGTTGTCTGCTGTGAGGCAGCAGAGTTGTCATTCCTACCTCAATGAGGTCTAGGGTCTTAGGTTCCCTTCACGAGAGTCATCCTGGCATTGTACGCATGAAGGCGCTTGCGCATAGCCGTTTGTGGTGGCCTGGGTTAGACAAGGAAATTGAAGCTAAGGTGCACGCATGCCACCTTTGTCAACGCTCACGCCCAGAAATGCCCCAGGCTCCTGTGCATAGATGGGAGGAAACACAGTCTCCATGGTCTAGGGTGCACATCGATTATGCTGGGCCCTTTCAGGGTCAATTCTTCTTGGTCCTGGTTGATCGCCATTCAAAATGGCTTGAGGTTGTACCTGTCTCTTCCACCACCACTGCAAAGACTATTCAAGTACTGAGAGGGATTTTTGCTGCACATGGGCTTCCGGGTGTTTTGGTGTCTGACAATGGCCCTCAATTCACTTCTTCCGAATTCCAAGCTTTCTTACAGGCCAACATGATTCGTCATGCCACCTCTGCACCCTTCCACCC